GGAGATAATTTTCTTCAGAGCCCTTAAGGAGTGGAATTCTTTGCCAGTGTCTGTGTTCCTCAGTAGGTAGATATACAAAGATATATTATTTAAGGCTCAAATAAATAAGTAAGTTGCCTAGCCTACGGGTAGATACTCCATCGTAGGTCCCATCATAGCTTATCACCTGGCAAAAAATTGCGAATGTTTGCAAAAAGACAATGATTCCGACTTGATCGCAAACTAAGATAACTGCAAACTAAAAAACTGTCGTTGTAGTATCTTACAGCAAACGAGCAAACAGATAACCTGATGGTAAACAATTAGCGCCGCCCAGGGACACCGGCAACGAAGGAAGAGTAGGTAAGTAACGAGTGCGTTGCCGACCTTTTGGGGATAAGGGATTTGGAGATTTTGGGAATTAGGAGGGATTGTTTTTTTGTGAGGGGAAAATCATCAAATGACTTCGCCCGCCCAGTGTGTGAGTGTCAGACTCTTACTGAAGAGAATAAGGAGACGGCGTCCCAGTTCCTCTCGCTCCGCACCATGACCTCGACTAAGGCCGGGCGCGAGAGGTCACCGCCGCCGATCACTTCCCTGAGGACAAGGCGGTGCTCAGCACAGGCAGGGCATACCGCCACCGTATGTTCCACCTTAACCTCTAGGTGGTTTTCACAATGACGACACTCGGGCGTTTCCTCCCGCTGGATCCGAAACAGGAACCTACCGAAGCTGCCGTGCCTGGTAAGGACCTGTGTCAGGCGGAAGGTGAGGACGCCGTGGCGTCTCTCAAGCCACTCCTCAAAGATGGGTCTTACTGCTGCTATAATAGCGTGCCCGAAGGATTGGGGGTTGGGAAAGAATTGGGCCTCCGGTAACCTCACTCACACGGCGAAACACAACGCTGTGGATGTTTCACGCCGGTTTTCTGTGAGGCCGTGGTATCTCTCCAGTCGAGCCGACCCATTCGTGCCGAAGCATGGCTCTCCCACACTTAAGTATAAGTAGGTAATAGAATAATTACCGAAATTTAAATGAAATTATTAACAGTCACCTCAATTGTTTCATTTATTCATACCCCAAAATGTAAGTACCACATTCTCATACTTAGAAATGTTTGATACCTAACTCTAGTGAAGGCTGACTTACAAAGAACAAGTTACCTAGTTCAGGCGTTATCGACAGATGAGTCATTAGTGTTATATTCCTAATTAGTTATGTGTGGACCGAGGCAGGCAACCATACTCGTAATATCGTGAGCAGATCAATGTCGTAACACCAAAACGTGACTTAGGCCTTCGTCATAGTTGACACGTGAAAATTATCGCTTGCCTTATTTTTAACTCTTAAAAGGTATAAGCTTGTACAGTTCTGCTAATAGAATTATCCTTACTTATAACATACCTACGCACAAAATACAAGGTTGGTGCTGTGGCTTGGGGACGATTTGCGATTTGCTACTGAGTGTTTGATCCCCACAACAAACACTTCTTAATTCTTTGTGTGATCCACGATTACTAAATCTAATTTCTTTCCTATTTAATTTGTTTCTACTGACTCCGGTTTTGCTCTTAGGTTCAATATAGAAAACCTGAAACTGGATCAAGGGAAGAATACTACAATAATCTGCACAGCTCTGCTCGACATATTGCATACATTTACTATTGGCATAGGTACCTACTTAAAGGCCGCTTTAGAAGCCTTTTGGTTCATCGTGTTTTTCCCTACAATCCAAGATGAAAGAAATTAGTTGATTACAGAATGCAACTTACTTTGACTATCCCTTTTCAAAACATAAAAATGATGTTGCACAGGCAGGCTATGACACAGGTTTTGTTGGTTCCGTAAGTAAAACCTGAAAATATATGAAAGATGATGAAATATTTTTCACTACTATAAAATAGTTTGAATCATATTTTTCCTTAGTGTTGATAGATGTTTTCTTCAGCATATGGACTATGAGGATCCACTACTACTATGGAGTATATACTAGAGTGGATACTAGGACTATGGAGTTACTGGCCTAAATGCATATGTTGAGGGTATGTGTGCCATATTACTCACACTCAACCTCACCATCAACATCAATATTAGGCTGGAAGAGAATTTATTTAAGCACTAGCTACTCGCACTCGGTTTCACCCGCTGCTCGGCTTGATTTAATCGTAGCGTGATGTTTTATAGCCTATAGCACTGAGGAACATTGTAGCTATCTATCAGTGAAAGAATTTTGGAAATCCGACCAGCAGTTCCAAAGATTATCCCTACATACAAACTTACAAATTTTACCTCTTTATAATATTAGTATAGAGTACTTATAGATTTATTTACAGTATATAGTACAAGTACCAAATTGTCTAGGTATATGTTACCTTAAACTAAAATTAAATATATGATGACAATCTAGAATACCAACTTAAATTAACTGCATCAATGAGATCAAGTTTAGCAATTACCACAATTAATACAAACTTACAATTATTTTTTTACTAGAAAATAAGCAAAAGTAAAATGTTTAGTACTATTAATGTATAACTGATGAACTTATTAGGCTCCTTTATTGTTTAAGCTAACATACCAAAAGGCAGCCTATGGCTACTCCATATCCTTGATTAAGCTAGGTAGCATAGGTTTCATCATATTTTATTCACTAGGCATACCCTGAAATAATAAAAAAGCAGGCTTAAGCATAAGTAGTAGATTCCGAATAATTAGGAAAAAATCTATCCATAATAGAATAAACATATTTTATATTAAATGCACTTGAGCCACACACCCGGGTTACCATGTCCTGGCCAGGAGCAGACTTGGAATGGGATAGTTTTTAGTCAGTAAGAGTATGACACACCCTCTTATTCTGCTCAAGGAGGAATACACCCTATAAAGACATTATTCTCAAATAAAAAATAAAAAAGTAATGCCCATTGCACTTCATGGCCCGACTCACATTTATAAAACCTCTAGGGACAATATTCTGAAAGTAGAATGTTTATACAATATTTTATTTAAAACAATAACAATAACACCTTTATTGTTATTGTTTCAAAAAAAATAAATAAATTAAAAGCAAAATGCTGGGAGAATCTTGCTTTCCAAATTTCTATCCATAAAATAATATAAAAGTTATAAACCTATTACTAAATAAATTCTCATAAGTTCAATTAGGTAAGGTATATAAAATAAATCTTAACCTGGTATAATACTCTTCAAAATTACATAAGTACCTCAACCCAAAAGGATCTAATACCCATATGGGCAAATATTTACCCATAACTGTTTTGGGTTTTAACTCACTTTCACTGAGTCCCGACAAAGTCTGAAAGCCACCAGCAGTGGGGTGCCACTTTTTAAACTACTGCCTTAAGTTACAGTACATTTCCCTACTAATTTAGTAATAAAGAACATCTACATGTAAATGTCATTGTTAATATATAATACTGTAGCTTCCTACAGCACCTAGTAAATGCAACAATATACACACAAAACATAATTATAATTCCTTATATTACTCCATTAGCCATTGCAGTACACCGACAACCTTCACAGCACAGAACTTCAAAGCAGTTGTTATACCATGCCTGATGGATGAGTGTGTATGCAGGGTTCGTAGAACGAGCACGACCCATAGCATGTACTCTGTGCCCATGGTTAGCCATGGATTGATTTCCAAAAATTTTATAACATTTTATTACCAGTTGAGAGGAAGTTAAGGAAGGAGGTGCATTGCAAACTCGCAAGACTCTTAATTATTTTAGTTAGGTACCTACCTACGTAATAATAGTAACTGAGCTTTGGTTACCCGCTTAAAATACTAGTAACTGAGCTTTGTTTTTGTTCTAACCAAACTGAAACAAAGAACATGTAGAACTCCGCTTGGGTAACTAAGGGTCAAGCATTTTTTAAAGTCCATTTAGCCACTTAAAATGATTAGCCGTACAATTTCGTATTTTGATAAAAAAAAACAAGAAAGTAAAGTTGTAGTTTGTTTTGAAGTTTGATTTGTTTTTGTTTGAAAAACATAACCTATAATGTTGCTATAATAAAATATAGGTAAGTAAAAGAATTGATTTGATATTAGTCCAAACAGTTCACTGAATAAATATTTGTAGATACCTTTATGAATATATTTTATATTTAAAATACTCATTGCTTATTTGTTTTAATTTTAAATGAGGTGGGTTATGGTATTCTCGATTTTACTTAAGATAAATCAAAGCAAGCAACACTGTCAAGTGTCATCCAACTCGACCAACATCGAACTTAACTCAGCGTGTGGCAGATCGTTCACGAGCTTATTAATATTTTAGCTGTTTATATGTAGAATACGGTTTTTATCTATACGTTATTTTTAAAATCAATATTAATAACAATGTATCTTACATTTGTGAACTCGTCATTGTTTAGAGCGGCGCGGATTTTAATACAAACTTTGTAGTCCAAAATCTTTAAAACTACTAGACCGATTTTAATGAAACTTGGTACTTAAACATATCATAGCCAAAAAAGTAAATTAGGTACTTAAGTTGTATTTTATTAATGCATGTGGTAGTCTGAACAAATAATTACATTTTTGAAAAAGAGTTAAGAAAGACAAGCAGAAGCATAACTGAACATAACTCAATCAAAACTAAGCCAAACAAAATTACGACAACAATTAAGTTTTTATTTTTTTAGACCTTGATATAATGTGTATGAGTAAGTAGGTACCAAGTTTTATTGAAAACGGTTGAGTAGTTTTCATGATTTTGAACTTGAAAGATTGTTTGAAACTCCTTGCGACGTAAACACATCTAGATGAGTCTGTTAGTGAGTCGTATTGCAGTATTTGTCGGACATCAGAGCCGGTAGCATGACCGCTGATACATAAAGAAACCAAAAAAGTTATATCCTATTATTATCACACGAGTTCATAACTGTAAACAATCGTAACGTCAATACTAAGTGATTTTTTAAAAGGAGATGTACAGGTACTATGTCGGTACATTAATATCTAATACACTGATAAATCCTACGTAACTATCGATCGATGGAGATAAATTTCGATACAAGTGATAAGATTTGTCGTGTTTAAATTGTAACGACGGTCATTGTGCTTCAGTCGTGGACAAACAGTTGACTCGAAATAAGTGAATATAGACGTATTTTAAAAACAACAACAAAATGTGGTAAGTTTCTACATAATTATAATAATTATTTATTTATTTTTATCAAATAAATAAACAGAAATCACGCGAAGTAAATATTTAAGTGTTATTACTTATGTTGTCTTATTTGTATCAAATAGGTTCTTGAAATAAAATTTGGCTAAATATTTATTATTATATCTCAGCGTAGTTGTTAAATGCACGAACGGTGTACCTACCTAGTCATATTTTTTTTTTGTTATTAAAACGAATTATTTTTATTCCCTTACTGACTACTTAGCACACACATTTTAAATTTAATATTTACTGAAATATCTCCATTTTTATCTGTTATAAATCGATCTATAATTATTATTTGTCTATTCGTGAACAGCCAGATCGCAGCACTGGCTGCGGTCTCAATCACTTGGTACATTCGTGACGTAAACACTATTGACCAATCAGCTTCATAATGCAGCCGAGCGCACGTACAGATAGCATGAAAAACTTAAAAAACTTTTATATATTTTAAACAAATACTTACTTAATAATATTCCCGGTGCTCATTACTCATAACAAATCTGATGAAAAATTGGTGTTAAATCATTGTATACAATGACTTTTGACAACCGTCCTTTTCAGGAAAATAAAGGACATACGCTGTTTTCTGTTTGCAATTATTGAATCTATTATATACTCTATTTAATTCGATAACAATACATAACCAATTTATTTCATTAGGTAGTATTCTCCGAAAACTATATATCCAAATAAAATTGCTCATGATGGTCGGCTAAAGATAAAGCATGACTGTATTCCAATACAATAATCAAATAATCAATGTTTATCTCATATCAGTTGGTAAATTAAGCTTGTGACTGTTAGTACACATGCTTTTAGTGTTATCTTTATTTAATTTAACAAGGCATATATAAGGAAGAAACATTCATCGATAATTTTGCGAAAAGTCCATAAATTACACAACATTTTTGTATCTGCTTGGTATAACTCTTACGCGAAATATGAAATCCCTAAATATAACTAACTAGCTACTCTCGCCCGGTTTCACGTATCATTTCATATCATTTAATCGTAACGTGATGTTTTATAGCCTATAGCAATCAAGAACATTTTAGCTATTGATCAGTGAAAGAACTTTGGAAATCTAACGAGCGCTTCCAAAGATTACCCCCTACATACAAACTTACAAATTTTCCCTCTTTACAATATTAGTATAGATTGAATTTAAGGTCTAAGGTCCCTGATTAAGACCAAAGGCCTCGACATCATTTGATTTTGTTCTATACACGCGCCGCCATCATAGAACTTAACTATTTGTCTTCAGTTATGCATCTGGGCATCCGTGTGGTAGGTAGGGGATGAATTCATACTACTTCGATAGAAATCAAATATCAAGTTCATGTTTAAGCCCTTTCATGCAAGCAATCAAAAAGAATAAATTCATAATTATCTTCCAGTTGAGAATTTTTACCCAAATTCATACTTACCAAATTAACAGTATTTTAAAGACAAAACAAAAGTAGTATTTGTTTTTTTTTATTACTATAAAAATGATGGTTCAAAATAAATGAACATAATTTTATTTGCTTCCATTACTTAGGAAGTACTTAATGTATTCGTCGCTGCCAACGACCTCGACTTTCTAATAAATATTCTTCGCGCGTTTTCCACGAGACGGCCTTAAAAATGGCGACTTAGTACTATCACAGTATTATGATACAGTTTACCTACTATTAGTCATCCAATCATTTTACTTTTCTTTACGTTTATTTCATAACTATGTTTGATGAATGTTTAAATGCTATCAAAACATTATTCACTCATTTAACAGGGTATTTAAAGAATAGGCACTGCAATGTTTGCCCACTTCGATACTATTATGATTGTTTAATACCTTTTTAGTCTAGGTACCAGTATGTTTACTATGTTTAGTCATACAAACGCGCCCGATCTACATTTGAATTAGGAAGTTTGCGCTAGTTGCGTTGTAACTGCAAATCACAAAAGACTAACTCTTTTTTGAGGCTAATCTTCGAATCATTGCTCCATCCCTGAGTGAGATGAGAGGGAGTGTCAGACACTTACCTACTGACTATAAAGCACTCTGTTCCAACTCGTGCTCCGTACCCTGATATAAACTAAAACATTGAGCAGGGGGCCGTGGTCAGCGCTCGGTTCCCTGAGGACAGAACGGAGCTGGCTGGCTAGAGAAATGCCACGGCGTCCTCATCTTCCGTCTGAAACAGGTCAGGTATCTGTTTCGGATTTAGCGGGAGGAAACATCTGAGTATCGTCTTTGTGAGGACCACCCGGTGGACACGGTTGAATACGGCGGTGGCGTGCCCTGTTCCGGCTGAGTTCCGCCTTGTCCGCAGGGAAATTATCGGTAGCGACGACCTCTAGCGTCCTGCCTTCGTCGAGGCCATGGTACGGAGCGAGAGAAACTAAAAGCCATCTTTTCCTTCTGCGAATCACTGATGTTCGTACTTCCTTGGCGTGTCCATTTTCGAACGCTCTTCAGGCCGCTCTCTCCATGCATATTATGTACTTACACGATGATCATAAGAGGTTTTACATATTGTCAGATTTTCACTCATTGCAATTACTTTCAACGAGGTTAAATCAACGTCATCCTTATTCTGACACAAGGTGACGCTAGCATCGACAGCACCTTCATATTTACTTGTTAACAACGTTATTATTGTTTATGTAAACTCTATTGTTTCTCTGGTAGATGACTCACTAAGAAACACAGTTGGAAAATAACAACGACTACTTATTACTATGTATAATGACTTATTAAACCAACATGTGAGAAAGTCATTGCGTAACATGCTAAATTCAATTTTGAATTCACACTCGTAAGTTTTAAATCATATAGTACATTTACAAAATTACATATCAACAGGTTTAGAAATAGATTTAGTTTACGAACCCACGTGTAGGAAATGGCACTTACTATATGTAGGTACTTACCTGGAACAAATATGACGTAATAGTATTTATTAACTCAGACGCTTCTGAAATTATGACCGTGTGGTATAAATGTCTCGTATCTTTACGCTTAGGTATATAACTTCACAGATGTAGAAAAGTGGATAAAACATGCTTTACATATCCTGTAGGTGCATTTTATACATCTGTGTTTTTTCTAAATATATATGATTATAACCTTAGTACCTTGGTCTTTTGTTTATTCAAGGGGGATATCATCAAATGGCTTCTCCCACTCTAGGTGGGATGATTTTTACTGACTAAAAACCACCTCGTTCCTTCTCCTGCCCTGAAGCCAGAGCAGTAGGTAATCTCGCAATTCCAGTTGGACATTAGCCTTAGTACGCCCAACTACTTCGTGAAGCAATTTGCTTCATGGTCCTATCTGTGTTAATATGGTGTCATTTGACGCCCGTGCGGAACGCAAAACTAAACTCACATGTAAACTACTCCAAAATTTTATATCGGATCTCAAAAAAAAACAAAATTCTACTGTTAAAAATTAAATATGATTGTAACTGAAACCTGCATGAAGTCACTTACGATGTTTTTCCTTGCAAGTGTTGAAATGCAAACAGTAATGTTAGATCAGGTGTTCCATTTCTGTTATCTTTGTAATCTTGTCGTCCTCCATGACTCGGTACTACCGAGTACTATATATATACTACCGAGGCTACCGAGTCGGTAGCCTCATTTTACTGGTATTTTTAATTATGAGATAGGTCGGCAAATGAACCGTCTTTGGTCATAATGTGCATGTGAAATTGTATGTTTGTAACCGCACCCACGACACAGGAGAAAATAATAACGTGGGGCAACGTTTTTTAAAAAAAGAAATGAAAAAAAAAAGAAAAAGAAAGAAAATGGTAAGCAATCAGCTCCTTCCATAGACACCCCCAACACCAACAAAATTACAAGTGTACTGCCGACATTGTGGAGGATTTGAGAAATGGATTTTGGGCATTAGGTATGGGAAAGGGGATTCGGGCTCCGGTTACCTAATTTGCATGTAGCCATGTGTTCCCAAATCCCCAAATTCGTAACAATCCACTAAAAGCAACGGACTTATAAATCCTTTGGTGTTGCGGGTATCCATAGGGGGCTCATTTGCTTGCCATTCATTTATACAAAAGTCTTTAGATTTATGACCTCATTAGGTACATTCTATAGAAAAGTAAGGAACGTGATTTTTTATGTGTTATCACGTTGTACAAATCTACACGTGACCGTAATCTATTATAAGCGCGATAGTGAACCTAAGCCTTTGCGGAATCACATTATAAACACGTATATAATTTTTTTTTCTATTTACTACAATGGAAAATTATTAACACTAAATGTTATCAAAATTATCAGTAAGGTAACTCTTCATAATATAAACAAATTTGTTAATTTAATAGGCTTTAATTTATCGTATTACCTATTTGTTTTATTTATTATATGTATTTTATTGGCCTAACGTACCTACCTATGTACCTATATTTGTCGTTATGATAATATTATAATGCTAAACATCACGTTTTAAGAACAGCTAAATGGTCTTCAAAATGTCTATAAAAGTTCTTAGAATATAGATTGATCTTTAGAAAATCATCAATTGTCGTCTCCCGCCCTAAAAGCCACTCTGATCCATCTTCAGAGGGCCTTCTTTTCTGAGGGGTAAACCATCAAATGGCTTCTCCCGCCCAGGGTATGGCGGAAGGGTGTCATACTCTTACTGACTAAAAACCCCCCTGTTCCTTGTCCTGTTTTGGGCCGAGGTCGCGGTGCCTCATTGCGCTTACCCCGCAACCCCAGCTGAACATCAGCCTTAAGGGCCCCGTCTGTGATGGTCTATTGGCTCTTTGAGGCGCGCGTTAAAACGTTACGCGTGCGCTCGGGTCTGGTCCTGGTCGGGCGGCGAGCTACCCTTACTCGCCGACCGCAAACCCGCGTTTACGGTGGCATCTTCAGAGGGCCTACCATGACGTGTTAAAACGTCAATCTTCCGGCCGAGAAAGAGGGATGGAACTATACACCTTTATAGCTCCATCCCTCTTTTTCGGACCTAGGTTAAATACATTATTACGCTTGCATCGTCAAGTTTAAAACTAAAACCTCAGTAGGTATTGTTTTAGTATTGTAAGGCAATTGTTTTTAAAAAGATTTTCTTTAATTCCCGTAGCATTATTAAATTCATTGTATTGAATGTTGCCGGTCTTGCATTGATCGATTTAACTCTAGTTAGAAACTAAGAAAAGTCGTAAAATTCTAATATTATATTAACAAAACCAAACGCATAAAGTAAGCTGCCAGAGAAACATTGTTTGCTGTACAGAATGATGTTTTCTCAGTCTTTGGGATAAAACAAAAGATGATGTAAACATAGGTTTAATGTTGCCAGTTGTTAAATAAATATTAAACATTGCTGTAATTAATACTCGTATACAGAGCGTCCCCTGATATTCTTTTGTACAGTTATTTTGGTCTCGCTAAACTAATGATAGTCAAACATCGACGCAAAAATAATGGTGGACTCATCATAAACTTTTGTCTGTGTGTCTGTTTATGACATTACAGCTCCCGAACGAATAAACCAATAAGCATAGGTAGGTACGTGTCTATTAACTTGATTTCATCGCTAACCTTTGATGACGCTTTATTTTCTTCTAAGACAATATTAATTATAATAAATTTTTCTATGGTGCAGACAGGGATAGTCGCCGTTTTATATCCCATTTAATTTAGGTTAGAATTGTCTAAATGGCTTCTGGATCAGTTGGATTCAGGCCCTTGTACAGGCAAAAAACAGTATCACTAACATATATAAGGCAATATCCTACAAGGCAATATAATACTTACTTAACACTTTAAAACAATAGGCATGAGTCATATTTGATTCATGAATTCATCAAACGGACTATCAGTTAGACAAATCCTTTCTTCCGTGGTAGACCACGGAAGGTTTTACTTTTTATGTGATATCTACATTAAACACACTTAAGCAATGCCAATTGATCGAACGTAACTTTTATTATATTTTACTAGCCGTCGCCCGCGGCTCCGCCCGCGTGGGTGTCGATTTTACACATTCTCAGAATTTATTTTTAAATTTCTCTACTTACAAACCGTCTCTGGGCCTTAATTCGAGATTTATGATTAATTCAAGACCAAAATTAGTCAAATCGGTAAAGGCATTGTTGAGTTATAACATTACAACGAAAAGTGGCATTGTATAGTATATATGTATAGATATATATAATATAGATTTATTCCAAGGCAGAAACTCATCATTCTAAAATTAAACTTAGTTAAATGCCCTGCACGTATGCACTGTCTAGTTTGTTAGATAAAACGAACTGACTGATCTATATTGATTCAATCATTATCTTATATTTGACAACACTCACGTACTACCTATTATTGTTTTTGTTTTTTTATCTTCTTTGTGATGTTAGGATTAAAAAAACTTGTATATACAGCTCCACATCTAGCTTCCTAACTAGTATAAACTGATCCTTAAATGTGAGAAAGATCATTCAAAGCTAGTCCATGATAAACTGGTTGCAAGCTAGATGCTTAGCATGGGTAGGTTAGGTACATTTTCCTTTTTTAAATATATTTTTTTTAGCAATAACACTTACGTCAAGGTAATAATATCTACAAGTATTTCAACTTCATAGAAACGGCCGAAACGCGAACTATACCTACGCGCCCGATGTCGGGACGCGCTCGGGACGCAGACAGACGCGGCTGTACCGCAGTGACGAACGGACGGTGTGTTGTCTTTTATTTAGAAATCAGCTCGAGTACATTATTTAATATGACGAATAGGAAATATTGTGCTGTTATTATGTTTGGTTGCATGAATTCGTCAATAACGCATCCAGACAAAAGTTTTTTTTAAATTACCTGGAATCTCTGAAAGGTTTACGAAACTATAAAATAATTTTACTTACTAGTAGCCTAGGTAGTTACATAATGTGTGTCTTTATGGATCATTATTTCCAGTTATCTCACGAAAACAGATGTTTGAATTTATAAATAATATGAATAAAGTTATTGAGACGAGTGAAATATGTAGTTATAGGCGGTTCTGGTTCTGAATGAATCATGATACGTTAGGTACCTACCTACTTACGCTTGTGTTAAAACGGTTCATGTATGTTTTGTTAGTTTGTATAATTCAAAGTAGAGAGTGTGGTATTTTATTATTAATAATATTTGTTTATTATCTGCATTTATGAATAATACTAGAAAATATTTAATAACAACAATAAAACAGCTAGACTCATGTAATATTTTGATGTTTGAGGGTTGTGATTTTAGAACATAAGTAGTCAGCTGTTCAGTTCGGCATTAGTGGCCAAAGAAATTTTGTTTGTTTATTTTTAAAGCACTTTATTTGTTTATATAAAAAAGGATATTTACAATCACAAAACTAAATGGAAACAGAAAGTAGACAAAGGTAATTAAAATACTGGAGACGAGCAGCCCTAACGCATGTTTACGTACCGCGCGGCTGTAGGTATTTATTTCTTTCAAGCGGCCGAGTTACAATACTGTATGATATTTATACTGTGCTTACGTGCCGTCTTTTGAGGGTTAGCTGTCACAAATGTGTTGCAAAGAAAGCCTACATAATATGCGGGACATAAATTAAGATATCTTTTCCAGGACAGGATGCGGGATCCACATTGGTTTTCCCAACCCGGAATTAAAATTATTTAAAACAATGTATATCTGATACATAACTAATTAATTATAAATTGTACGAATGTTACATGGAATACGGATCTGATTACTTAATATTATCGATATTATTCTGATACGATATCAATCAATATTACGTACGGTATCGCAAAGCAATCTGTATGGTGTGTGTCACAATGCGGATTCTTCATGAAACATGTAAACAATAACATTTTCATTTAATTACAAATAACAATTTATTGTATACTAGTGCCCCAGCTTCGCGTTGCTTTACGGGTGCAATACTTATATTAAGCTTCTTCACTATTTAATGCACATTTTACTCCTATAAACCGTCCTTTTCAATTACTCTATCGTCCAAAATATCGTATCAAAATCGGTTGTGTAGTTTTAAAGATTTAAGCACACTTAGGGATATAGGGACAAAGAAAGCGTATTTCCAAAGTAAATGAAATGTATTCTAATTTTAAACCAAAACAAAAAATCTTTTTTATCTATGGCACAAAGTTTCTGTAAAGTAATACCTACTTATTCGTAACTATGTCGATCCTTGTATACCTAATTAATTTCGTCAATTTCAAAACAAAATAAACCTAATCTTAAATTGATAAAGTTGCATTTCGTTCTTTTCAGTTGCGTGTGTAGTTTGATCTGCAAGATCCTGAGTTTGATAGTGTCCTTGCTGTTCATCGTGGCAGTGGTACTCCTCATCCTGTGGGCCACTGGAACCATCTTCGGAAGTAAGTACTTTAAAAGCTATTTATACTCTTACGCGACACTCAAACTAAATTCAGCTTTATTACCATACAGTAAATTTTAAAATCTGTTAAAGAAAGATATAGTAGGGTAGTTCCTGCTGATGTGTGGGTGACAAATTCAAACTTCCGCGCAGGAATAAAAATAAAAATTTATTCGATTAATTGATTCGATGCGATTCATTCCAATGGATAAGTAGTGTCTTTTAGTAGCCAACACTCCTTAGGAGACCCTTTATCTCTTTAAGAGATTTATTTTCGTTTAAAATCAATATAAATTAGTATTAAATAGCAAATGTCTCTGCGTAGTGATAATTTGTTTCATGTGCATGAAGGACGTCGTTATTAACGTGTAATATTTTAATTAGGTATAAAGTATACCTAATTAATTTCTTAATAAGATTTTTGTGATCTTCTGCAAAGACAACCAACCGCTTCTCCTGAAGGCGATCATGAAAATGAGAAAGAAAGAATCATAATTTTTCTATTAGTCTTCCAATAAATGTCAGTTCTAAAAATTGCTTTGATTTGCTCCAACGGAAATCACGAGTACCTATTAGGTACTCGACGTAAATAAAAAAACTATTTTTATACATTTTATTTGTGCGTATTTTTAAATTAAAAGGTCTACTTATACTAGTTATACTTTGATCACAAAGGTGAAACTAGTTTAGTGATTTGAAACAAATTTTAATTCTTTTTGTTTTCTGTCCAACAGAAGATGACCCCGCTACCACCGAAGAAACCACCAACCAACTCCGACAATTGATGTACAGCAGTCATCCAAAACTAGTATAGTTATTATCGACCTTCTTCCCTGATCACACGAACTATTTTCCTATTTCAACCAATTACTATATCAAACAATGCTATAAATATATTCTAAGCTTTTGCAAACAAACACACTTTCATTCCTTCTCAACTTCTAGATAATTATAAGTGTAAATATAAGCATAAAATATCTTAGCTTTTAAGTTATTTTTATATTTTATTATTTATTATAATCATCATCGCTAGTTAAAAATATATTTTATATATATTTTGTAGCTAGCGTTTATTTTTATATAAGTATTTTAAAGGTGAATTTTATATTTTTTGGGAAAATCTGAAAACCTCAGTACTTTCATAATGTGTATAACTTTATAGCCGTAAATTCGTTGACATGGCTGTTCACTGAAGTTTGTATGTTCACCTTCACCTACGCAGCGATGTTTTATACCTTGGCTGGTGGATTTGTAAAGAACTTTATTCAAATACCAATAAACCTGCGTGTATTCGACGGGGGGCAACGACCCTTTGAATACAAAAATCGCTTTATATCAGCCACCTAAGTAAAACGGTCGCTGTGTCATTGTGTGTGCTTTTATACGTCAAAATAATGACTCAATAAAAAGTACAAATTAATATAATGTTTGTCTATTATTTCCATTTTTTAAACATAAACAATAATTTTGTTATGACAAATAATAAAAGTCTGACACTGTCATCTGAAGAATGTGTCATTAACTAATTTTATGTTATTTTAAAATATTAAAATTCGTGTAACAAACAATTATTTAATAATAATTTTATTAGTAAAAAAACAGTATATGAAACCTGCAACGAAGAATCAATGCCTTTATGAAAATAGGTAAATACGAAAATGTGGTAGGTAATCGAAGGTTTCAAATAATTTTTTTTCTTAAACCTTATTATATTGCAATGATAAAATACAGAGCATCCATATTCCAAGACGACGAACAATCTTAGGTCAACGAACTCAGATATTTGTGAACCCACATCAGTAGACCGACCCTTTATTTGGAGTTGAAACATATAATAGATGCGATTCCATTCAATACAAGTACAAGACAAGTACAGTAGCAGCTTCTTTATGCTGTACAAAATAGTTTCTACCCATCTACACTTCAAGGCGGGAAACGAAGCTAACAGTAATTATTCTAGGAAATATAAAACACTAGTAGACCATGTTTATAGCAAGTCTTTAAATAAATAATATGTAAACAATAGCCAACTACCATGTACTATTCTATTTTGAAGTTTTATGAGTTAGAAATCATTCTTTACGTTGCGTGGTGCGTCTACATATCAAATTATACTAGCGGATATTGTTAGAAGTTTCGTACTTATTACTCAGTGCAAAAATAGTTTCACGGCAACTGTTCTTGAGACATTTTTCAAAACATTTAAAGTAAACTTAAACAGATTAGCATATTTATGCTCATGCAAACTGAACGGTAAGGTTTGTATACAAAAAAATGTACCTACTTATATAAAAAAATATTGCTATTGGAATTTAACGCGCAACATTCTTCACCTTTTTTGTGAGGGGAAAATCATCAAGTCTTCTCTCGCCCAGGGTCGGGCGGTAGGGAGTGTCAGAATCTTACTGACTAAAAACTCCCCCGTTCCTTCTCCTGCTCTGAGCCGAGGCCGCGGTGCCTCATTGCGCTTACCCCGCAACCCTGGCTGAACATCTTTTTGAGTTTAGTGTTTATACATACTGTGTATTCTAGAAATCCAAGGCAGCCCGGTTGTCATAAGTAGGTAATATATGCATTCCCTGCTAATGTTGAAACCAATAATTGAATTGATTATATTACTATTTATTTTATTTACGTAAAAACATTCTGAAGTTATACGTACGTAAGGTACAGTTTATAGTGGCCTCATTGTTCTGAGTATAATTGCAGAGTTAATGGTTATTGTTGTAGTAGAGATTTAAGTTTATTAATTCTTGTATTTCCAGTTGCATATGCAACCTCTGTTGCCAACTAACAAGCTTCATTTTACTTATCATCTGTCTTATTATCCTGGGCGTCGTATTATATTCGACATACGAATGGATGTGGATTTAAATAGACTTGTAAGCACCATTTCTTTTCTATTAACCAACTAATTAATAATATATAGACGCACGCGCTGTTATATTTTCTTTATATGGAACAGAGGGCCTGAACAGAGGGATGGCGCTATAAAAGGTGTATAGCTCCATCCCTCTCTATCGCACGGAATATTGACGCTTTAACACGTCGTGGTAGGCCAACAGTTAACAAAAATCGGTAAGGGTGAAGGAAAAGCTAAGTAGGCATCTGTGGCACAGGTAACCTACAGATTAACTTTAACTGAAACTTAAGCATTCGTAATATGTCGTGATGGTCTAGAGGTAATGGCGCTCGACATTATACTTACTATTACATATTTAATTGTAACCCAACCGATTTCTTTAGGAATAGTTAAGGTTATAATTAAATGTCTCTGAATAACGGTCTCTAAAGGTGGGAGACGTTCGACCCGAGTGTTACCACGACCTCACAGAAAAGCGTTATTTTTCGCTGTGTGAGTGAGGTTACAGGAGGCCAAAAAAAGAAATATCTTTTTTTTTTATTCCAGGAATCAAGACTGATTATGTAGAGTATAAGTCTAAAACGTATAATTACCTTAAGAAATGAGTTTAAGAAAACAACAACTTAAAGTTAAGCCGTTAGATGTACCTCATTTGTTCAAAATTGATTATATTATAATGAGAATGTATGTTTTATTAAATAAATTTTGCTATTCATATTTAGTCTACTCATTACGTAGAATGTTGTCAATCTCCTGACACCAGGGCCTCGAGTCTGCTATTACAATAGTGTCAGAATAGTAGATCATTGGTTTCAAAATTGTTTATTTTGACAAGTTTGGTAATCAACTAACACGATAGCGTCATTATGACTTTCCAATGATCAACCAATTGAAATAATTCTTTTGAACGGTAATCTCGTAGGTACATTATGACAAATGAATATTTGACATAATGCGGTAAAGTAATACAAAAATGTCAGTTTCTTTCTTCAATGATTTACGTTTAGGTTAATATTTATAATTTGTTACAAGACAAATCATACTATAATTCTATTACGACATCGCCGAACGCCAATGATCACCGAGCCATTTTCAATTAACAGATTACGAATTTTTAGCAAAATGACAATGGAATCGTGTAGGAATGACAGCACTTTGAAAATAGTAGACTCGGGCCCCAGGAATGTTGAATGTGAAACATGTTACAAGCTATGATTGGTTAGAGCTGCGAAGACAGAAAGCTCTTCTTAATACGTGTCGACTCAAAAATTGCGTTCTTCACCAGCCTTTTAAGGTGAATCTCGATTCCTTTGCGTCCCACACACATTATAATCTATCGATCTAGTTCTATTAGGTACATTCTGTACAAATATCTTCACGATGCTATTACTAAGGTATTGAAAATATCATTATAATAACAATAATATTTAGTGGCGTGATCGTGATATCACGACGCATTTCATCGCAACGCGCCTGCTGCCTATGAATAAGAGTCCCGTTGTGACTTGAAACTAGTCGAGCTTTTCTCAGTTACTTCACCTGAGTAAGTCGTTATTAGTATCTTATTAATATGATATCTAATCTACTATTCAAAAACATGAGGCTATTTACGGTTTACGGTAGGTATTCAATTATTTTTTATTTTAATGTTCCTCTTTCTGATTCTTTGTAAGGAAACGTTGAGTATTTTCTATTGATTTTATGTGGCAATAATAAGTACCAACAACATACTTACGGAATTATGTAAGTACCTATGTATTACAGTATATAGGTAGGTACGTACCTATTTTGTAGGTATATTTAACACTGAAGGTATTGGATATTACTTTAATTTCACTATCTATAATTACAATAGATCGTATCGGTTTAACGACTCCGATAAATTATAGTCAACATATCTTTACACTACATTCAAATAAAATCAAACTGATATACTTATTACTTACTTGTAGGAATACATAATGACACCGGGACTCCGAATTAAATAATAAACAGAAAGCAGTGTTAGAAGAAACTCGTTATGTCAAAGGCACAATGTTTTACGTAAAAGATTTCCAAGTAGTAAGAAATAACAAAATATTTTCTACCTCAGAAACAAGCGAAAATACATTCAGTGTGATTATCAACAAGAATAACGCGAAGACAAACATATCGAAATATTCTTTAGTGGTTGCTGCTAAACCGTTTAATTATTTTATATCCTTGTTCGGATCCAAATTGGTATCTTATGGGGAAAATGAGATAACTGGTGTAACATACTTCAATAAGCTATACGCAGTATTCCTTATCGCAGCCCATTTATTTATTGTTTTAGCAATATATCGACCACGCAGCTGGATAGATACAATGTCTGATATTCCACTTAACATATTGACAAAAACATTTGGTATATTATCCATTATTGAAGGTGACTATTCCATTTTCTGTACCGCCATCTTTAATTCACAATATTTTGTGGAACTGTTCAACAAATTGGACGAACTCGACACTGTTTTTCACGTTTCAAAAGCAGTTTTTACAAGAAGACGGATCTTATCAACTTTATTGGTCGTTTTGCCAGTAGGACAGTTGCTAAGCACATTTTGGTTGCGAAAGTTTAACATACAAAATATTGGTGCTCATATAAATTTCTTTTTTCTCATGTTACAAGGATCAATATTTTACTTTGTCATTGTGAATATTTATGTTAAACTCCTCATGCTGAACGCTGTACTGATAAAAATGGTGCGAAAAACGATGTCTAAACAAAAAGAGATGGTGTTAGAAGACACTATTTGTGACTGTATTACCAAGGTAATTGATTCTAAATTGTGATAAACCAAACTTTGATCGTTTGATAATGATAAATATTTGTTTACAGAGCATTTGTGTAGAACCCAAAATAATAAAAGTGGAACGATATTCTTGGTTTGAACTGATGCAAATTTATGACAAACTTGCTGATTGCGTTCATCTCTTCAATGAAATATATTGTGGTCAGGTACGTATACAAGAATCCTACAAATAGCAAAACATTTTAAAGGGAACGATTACAATTTCTATCTCAAAAAAAATACATTATGTTTATTTCAGATATTTATAATGTACAATACTTGGTTATTGGGCACGCTATTGACAATTTGTCGGTCCTTATCACCTTCTCTTAAAGTAAGTAATTTTGCATAACAAAATCCTAGAGAGAAAAGTAACGATGTGTATGTTTGTTTGTTACTCGTTTATGCCACAACTACTAAAGGGAAATTAATGAAATTTGACACAGAGACAGTCTTAAAATAACACACTGGCTTCTTTTTCCTAAAGTGCGAGTAAATCAGATAACATCTAGATGGAAAAGAAAAACTGGTTCAAAATCTACATTTCTGTAATATTCTGGAAATTTTCTTTTCAGTACTCTGAAATATTTCTCAGCGATTTATTTTTATATTTTTGTATTAACGGTCGACCTTTATTCTTGGCGACCGTATCTGAGATGTTTATAAGAGAGAGGAAGAAAACAGTACAAGTACTTTTACACGTGCTACGATTACATGAAGGAGGTAAGATTGTGTTCTGAGATTTCTTTCTTTTTGTTCAAACTCTCCATAGGTTTCGACTCGGATATTTCCTAGAACTGCTTAGGTATATTGGTGACTGACAGATAAACATGAGCAATGACCACAAATATTTAATGGGTGCTTCTTCACCACCTGTCGTCTTCATTATAGGCTTTGTACGACCACTCATGGATGGTTTTTATTTTTTTTAAAGAAGACATTTTTGAAAGGCCATTGAGTTTGGCCCTCAAAGCCTCAGACTAGCTGTGAAGGAGATCAATTCAGAATGGCTGATGTCAACTGAAAAATTTCGTAAAACTGTGCTCAGATTTCATAGAATTGTTATAGGTACAACATTGATCTTGAAAGAGAAGAATGAGTTCCAGAAAGGGTTTCTGATAGAGCTTTCTAAAGCGAATAAGATAATTGAATCTATTATCGTAAGAACCTAGATAAATACGTGTAAAACACTAGTTACTAACAAATATGTAGATATTTAACTAACGTTTGGCTTTCAAAAATCCGAAGGATATAGGTAACCAGGTATGTTATGAACCTTAAATCTGCAATATAAATGCCTATTTATGGCAGAATTGCCCAAATATTGTTCTGCAGTCTTTGAATTGGAGTCTTGAGATTTTGAATTTTGCAGGGATTTTTTTAGAAGAGAAAATCGTCATGTAAATGAGATCTCCTTCGCCTTGGTTGGGGCGAGAGAGAACGTCGGAATCTTAACTGACTAAAAAACTATCCCGTCCTTTCTCTTGCTCAGGGCAGAGAATGCGGTGTATGATTGCATTGCATCAGCCTGAAACTTTGCAGGACTACTAGGACTTTGTATCTACATTATTTGATACCATAATTTATTAAAATAATTCTTGTTTCTTTTCAGATAATCAACTCTTCAATCAAATGAAAACTATTTTAATGTTGGTTACGACTCGCAGGCTGGAAATATCGGCAAATGTCTTCAGTATAAATGTACCAACAGTTATGAACTTTGCTGGTCGAATCATATCGTACACTGTACTCATGATCCAATATTTCTACAGCCATGAGCATCCAAAATAACAATAATTTGTAATTTTGTCTAAATATTCTATTCATTATACTCGCCTGAAACACAGGAGGCCTTATTACATAACAAGGTTTTTCTTTTGTCTAGGCTTCACAACTCGGTTCCCCTAGTCCTTTGCGCCATCGTACCACCAAACAATCGGCAAAACGTCAACGCTTTGTGCTGGATATACCACCTACACGCACGAAGCTGTTCGCCTCCAATTTCATAATCCGAACCGCTAAAGAGTATAATTCTTTACCTGGGTGTCTTCAAGCTCCAGTGAATAGGTTGCTTATGGGTCGGCATGCTCCATCGTAGATCGCATTATTGTTTATCACCAGGCGTGATAGCGGCCAAATATATGCCCATTACGAAATAACAAAAAAAAAATAGTTCTAAATCTGTACTTATTTGTATTTCTTATTGAAGGTAGATGAAAATAACATTAAAAGTACAAGTCTTGACTTTAGAGATTATTTTCAATAAGTGCACTGTTGTCTGGCGGCTGAGAAAATGGCGACAGCTTTTTGTGTGATCCACATATTGTTGTTGCGGGTCTGGGTGTGATGTATATGTGAATTTGCATGTTGGTAATTGCACCCACGCACCGCAAAAATCCGAGAGTAGGGAAATGTTTTCCGACAGTTTTCGGACTTCTTGTAGTAAGTATAATAACCCATTTTAGTTATAGGTATATAAGAGGACAGATTAAAATGACAAAACATCATTTCATTAAAAGCCCTTAGGTGTATTTCCTTATTTAATCAATTTATTTAGTTAAATCATTTCTTTTAAATGTACTAAATTCTGAGTGGAAGCAGCGACTTTCGCAACCGAGGGCCGGGCACGCTATTATAGCAACGGTAAGACCCCTCTTTGAGGAGTGGCTTGAGAGACGCCACGGCATCCTCACCTTCCGCCTGACACAGGTGCTTACCGGGCACGGCAGCTTCGGTAGGTTCCTGTTTCGGATCCAGCGGGAGAAAACGCCCGAGTGTCGTCATTGTGAGGACCACCTAGACGATACGGTGGAACATACGGTGGTGGTATTATGCCTGGGCTGAGCACCGCCGTACGTACCTATCCTCAGGGAAGTGATCGGCGGCGGTGACCTCGCGCCCGGCCCTAGTCGAGGCCATGGTGCGGAGCGAGAGGAACTGGGACGCCGTCTCCTCCTTCTGTGAAGCAATTATGCTCGCAAAGAGGGAGGCGTCCCGCGTAAGGGAGCAATCCTCCTTCTCACGCCCCAGCCGCTCAGCCGCCGCAACAGGCGACCACCCGCCACCGTGAGCGCGGGTCTGCGGACGGCGAGTAAGGGCAACTCGCCGCCCGACCAGAACCAGACCCGAGCGTACCGCGCGCGCCGTATAGAGCCAATAGACCACTACACACGAGGCCCTATGGGGCTGATGTTCAGCCGGGGTTGAGGGGTAAACGCAGGAGAAGGAACAGGGGGTTTTTAGTCAGTAAGAGTCTGATCTCCTCCCGCCCGGGGGTGGGTGACGACTTTCCGCTCACAAAAAAAAATTGCACAAAATTGGTAGGAACCCTCAACAAACTCAATCCAAAAACTGTATACATAGAAAATACGAAACATACTTGGTTGTTATAATATTTCCTCGGGGGGTTGTAAAATCTCAAACAAAATATGAAGTCTCAAAGTGCACATAAATGCAACATTGTCTAACAATACACTCGAGATTGTTCTTCTTATATGACATTTTTATTATATTAAAGTTAAGCGCGTTTGCAGTTAAATAAATATTCTCATTTCATAATACTTAATAGAACCTGGATGAAGAATCTTTTTTTTGGAAATGAAATCTATACATTTCGGCCTCGAAATTCCTTTTATACCTTTAAACCACAATTACATCGAAATCGTTGGAGCCTTTTTCGAGAACCTGTGAAAATATATTTTTATTAGGAATACAAGCAAGAATTGCACGTGAGACACCCATGATTCAGCGCTGATGGGCCGACTAGACCAGAGTGATATCACGGCCTCACAGAAAACCCGCATGAAACAAAGCTTGGGTAGTGTTTCGCCGTGTTAGTGAGATTGCCAAAGGCCCAATCCTTCCGACTCCCCTCATCTTCATTATCGAAATCCCCTATCCCACGGAAGTTTACCATCAGGTACCTTAATCCAAAAAATCTGCTTAGGATAGCTAAATCTGAAAATCTCACGCATCTTCTTAGTATATAAGCACCAGCAATTAAAGTAATAAACAGACCTTAACCATCTACAGTCTCATTATTTACCTTGCCACGAAGTCTGGCAAACAAGGTATGTACAGGTTTAAATTAGGTAAATAAGTGTGTCGGTAATTTTTCTTCATGACTTTCCTATGTTAATTTTCATCATGTCAGCCACAAGATGTTTAGGTACTGTTGTACATGGTCCTTCCGCTATGATTCCAGAAAGGCTGGTTGAAAGCGGCCAGTACATATCCAGCGGCTCCGGGCGACCTATTTATACAGTCCAAGTTGTAAAGACGTCCTGCTTGGTGGCGATGTAGGTATCTATCCAGTTTTTCTTATATAAGCGCCCTCTGTAACTTTTTATTTAAACTGTTAGCTCCACTTTGAGAGGTTATGTATTAAGATACATGCTCTTGTTAGTTCTACCCACGGATCCTAGATGGCGCTGTTTACGAAATATAGGTTAATAACTGAAAAAATATTGTGAGAAGTCTAAAAATTTTTCAGTATTTTGGGTAGATACTATTATCATAATGTAGTTTAATCTACGACGAATTAATAATGAGCAAAATAAGTAAATGTTTTCCTGAAAAAACCACTCTTTAAATCATGGTTATTTGTGTGACCTGCAAGAGGCGATTGCTTTAGTTGATCAAAAAATGGCGTGTATTGGCCACTAGAGCTCGACTTGCAGTCCAAAGATGGTCATTGGAAGAAATTAAACCACCCTGTATGAAAGGACCACGCATTGTACATGTACAATCTATAATTATTAAAAAAGCCGTAATTTGTAGATTCAAGTACATAATCATTATATATTATCAAGTAAAACAATGAATTAATTTTTGCTAATAGGCCATAAAACGGCACTTTTATATTTATAATGTGTGCAATTACTATATAATAACAAATTACCAAATAAATAAAGCAGATTACCTTTAATTATTTATTTGATTTGCTTCTATAAAAAACATATTATGGACATATTATTATACTTCTATACTACAATTGCGATAACACTGTAAAGAGATAGAAACATTATAAGAGGTAATTTGTAAGTTTGTATACAGGGACCGCTTTCCGATCTTTGGAACCGCTGGTCGGATTCGCAAAATTCTTTACTGATAGATAACAACTACAATTTTCCTGAGTGCTATAATAGGCTGTAAAACATCACGCTACTATCAAAGGGATACAAGGAGCGGGTTAAACTGCCTGAGCGTGGCTAGTCTAATATAAATGTGTACAATTACACAGATGGACAACATTGACGGCGCAGAGTACTTCGTATTCTTTGTGGGAAACTTCCTTACCGTAGAACGGAAGGAATAACGTTTGGTAACTGGGATGCACCTGCAAGAAGAAAGACAAATTATTTAAGCGTCAAACATTTTAAGTATCGAAGAGACTTTTTTGTCCAAATTTAATTTAAATAGATTATATATATAACCTTTGAATAGATTAGAGGTGTAGACCTTTAACTATAGGTAGGTACTAAATTGGGGCTACCTTCTTAGCGCCTGCTTCACTACCTTCATATACTTAAGTACCTACATATTATAAGCACATGGTTCATACGAATTACGTTCTTTATTCAAAATCTGGTATGCAGTATTTGTAAATCAGGTCCTTAGATAGGTACATGTAGGTACTTATTCGTGCGCGAATTAATTTTACGATGTAAGAACCTATACCGAGTAGGTATGAACCTATATTATTTAAAAAAAAAATTAGACAAGCTATTTGATGTAAAATAACATAATTATATGACGTAACAATACACAATTTGATGCGATGCGCACGCTACTTATGAATAAGAGTCCCGTTGTGACTTGAAACTAGTAGAGATTTTCTCAATTAATTCATATGAGGTGAGTAAGTTGTTATTTAAAAAAATAGAAAGTCTCATGGAAAATTAAGGATTTTAACAGTTTAAAAAAGTACCTATTGAATTTGAATATCTATCGAAAATATTTGTAAAATTAATTACCTTTCCAGGCGTCAGTGATCCTTCCTCAAAGGCCCTGCCGACATACAGAGGCTCTCCATTCAAAGTTTTGCCAGCTACAATCGCATTTGAAGGAACATTACCATTGCGGCTCTCCTGCCACATGATCCTCTCTGGACGAGCACAGCAAACCTGCATAACGGGAATATAAATTAACTTTTAAGTAGAAGAAGAAGAAAGAAAGAAAAACCATTTATTTCACACACAAATGACGCAAGAAACAAACATACACAAATATGGCTATATAGGGACAAACCAACAATGAACATAAAAAAAAGAAAAGCACTGCAAGTTTGCGTCACCCATGCGCGAAAAGGGGCAGCGCTCAGAATAAATGCTGTGTCTCGCTCACGCAGGCACGAAACAACAGCGCTGGTTTTCAGCGCTGACCCAAGTCTTTCTGGATGATCTCGAAATCAGTCTTGAATGGAAACAAATCAGTAGGTACATAGGTAATATGGAATAAAATGACAAATCGATAATTACATATTACGAGTTCATGTGAAGACATAAAATGTTTGGTACACATTCAAAGCAAAGCGAATAAATAAAGTTATCTTTCTTGAAAAAATCGTTCTATATATTTGTAACTACTACAGGTACTAGTACAAGAATTTAACATATTAACATTTCAGGTAAAAAGACTGATCGAAATATGGTTAGTCAAATTTATAAAAATATTAAAATTCAATTTATAAATTAAATATGCCTAATGTGTATATAGAACAGCTGTGACAATATCTGCATTAAAAATTTGGGATGATCACAGCTAGCTTAAAATTAAATATGACTTGTGCAAGAACTTGCAACAAGTTGCACCATAGTTGATAAAATAAAAAGAAGTTATATTTAGTTATATATCGCCAACAGATTGTTGCACAATATCCGAATTTTTGCGATAAGTTTTTGTTTATGTGCATGACTCATTATTACCCATATCTATAGACAGATAATGAAACACACAGTTAGGTAATGTTCATTGTTTTGAATTTTTCATCGCATCGTTTTCCTCATTACTGAAGGTCGTGATTTACTTTCCCTCAATAGATTTTCTTCTTCTGGAACGTATACTTTCCTTTGTTCCTATCCTTGGCCGAACGAATAGCTTCTTGTAGAGTCTAAGGTTTTTCGAACCCGATTCGGGCATCTGATTGGACTGTGTCCTTATGGTCTTTTACCAAGAGGACGCAACCTTACCTAGTGTTGCTCTAGATTGTTACGTTCTAAGCACTGTTCGCAAAAAGATGAAGAAGAGTTTATTTTGTACGTTTATTTCGCGTAATATAAGTACATTAGTAGGAAATAGAAACAGGAAGGCTGTACTTGAGTTTGGAGTATTCTAACCCAGCCGTTTTTAAGTATCTACGTGTCTTCATCCCCTACTTGAATGTGAAGAATACGAAGATTTTGCGGAGTAGGATCGTGGCACTTTTCTACATTTTGCTGTTATTTTTTTTTATAATATTTTTGTTTTTAATTTAATATGCACTATCTCAATCATGCAAAGAAGTTTACAACTAGATAGCTAAATTGAAATGTTACAAAAACATTAAGAATAAATATTTACAAACCTCAAACTCATTAACGGCATGTTCTTGTCCATCCCATCCAAAATAAGCGGTCTTAGAATTCAAAACTAGTTTACCAGGAATCAGATTTCCTTCAAACTTGGCTCTAATAACCCAGAGGGCGCTACCGTTGTGCTTCTCATATCCAGCAACTACAGCACGATCGCTGAGTGTGTGAACATGATCGCTGTTAGTAGGAACCCATTCAACAGCAGCTGGAATACAATAAGTAACAATTTTTATAAGGTTTTGCACAACATGTAAATCGCTATCTTTTATATTCTAAGAGTTAATAAAAATATCAAATAACAATAAATTATTATGTTTACATCTCACACACATTAGATCATCAGCGTTTAAGTACCCACTGCTGACCAAGATGGATTGGCGATTTCAAACTTATTATTTGAAATTATAAGTCCAGATTTCCTCACGATATTTTCCTTTATATTTATCTGTGGTGTTTTAAATGATCTTATAAAATACCTACATAATTATGTCTATAAAACAATATTAGGATTTGATCCTAAATCAACACCTGACACCTAAAGTGAAATAACAATTTGTGAATCACACAAAGTGCTTGTGAAAAACAATGGACACCATTTAATACAATGGTAAAAGTTCGTCAAAGAAATGCTTTCAAATGTACCTAGGAGTACTTTTAACTGGGTGTTTATCGTCGTCAAGTCTATGAGATATCTAGGTAAATGAGCGCATGGACATCCTCAAAATTATATTACGATTAATATTTTGTTGTTCTCTTTGTTGAATTCCTTGCCGCTAAATTAATTCAATTGACAAGAGACTGTGTTTATTAAATTTTTACCCCAAGTGAACGCCGGCGTTTGCGTACCTATTGTTCTTCTATTGTGTCTCGCAATATCGCGATTGAGAGTCTAGTGGTAACATACTCGTGGCTTGTTAACCAAAAAACAGGTGCTAAATCTACACAGACACAGTCATTGCAAGAAATTTAAGTCCTCTTAAAAAAACTGTTAACTTACGTCCACAACGACATCCTCCTGGCAATGGCAGAGTAGGTCCAGGAACAGGGCGGCACGATGGTGGTGGCTGCTCGAATAACAATTTCTGACAACCTTCACATCTGAATGAGATTTGAAAATCCGGTCGGGGCTCTTGTCCACAACCACTATTTGGCCAGGCCATACCAGGTTGTCTTGGTAATGGAGTAATGGCAAAAAGAGTGCCATTGATCTGGCAGTACATTTGAGGTTGACATGCCAGGTTCTGTCCCAAGTCTGAAATAAGATGATCGTAGGAGAAAATACATCAACTAACATAGGTGACATCTATGAACGAATCCCTAGTACCTAAAGATGGTAGCTTTTAAGAGCCTTCCTTCGGCACGAATGGTTCGGCTTGACCGGATCGATACCACAGAAAACCGACAACCAAATACAGCGTTGTGTTTCGCCGTGTGAGTGAGGTTACCGGAGACCCAATCCTTCCCCTCCCGCAACCCTTAAATCTCCAAATCCTTAATCCCCAATAGGTCGGCAACGCACTCGTAACTCTTCTGTTGTTGCAGGTATCCATGGTCGGCGCTGATTGCTTACCATCAGGTGATCCAGTGGAAATTCATCAAAGACTTGTTGCATTGGGCATGACGAGAAGAGTGTCAGACTCTTACTAACTAAAACAGTTCAATCCTACTTTCGAGTCGGGGTGGTTACTTATTTATTTCATCCCCATTGCCGGCCAAAAAAGAAAGGTCTAAGAATACTAGTTTAACACTGTAAAATTTAATTCAAAAATATAATAAAAATAACTTACTTGAAAACATCTTGGTATGGCTTTATAATATGCAGGACTTATGAACGCACGTTGAACAGCTCACAAGCTCTATTCACGACTGTCAGTAACGAACTGGCGATTGGCAATTGAAAAAGTGCAATATATTTACGTTGAAAAAATGACGCGACAAGATAATTGTCGCCCACGCACGCGCGAATTTCTTTCGTTGATTCAGACTGTTTAGATCACTTACGTTTTTCCCACTGTAGCTTTTTAGGAGGTAAATCTATACTAATATTATACATCGAAAAGTGTCAGTCCTTTTGTTTGTCCGTCCGCCTTTTTTGAGGAGGAACATCATGAAATGTCTCCCCCCGTCTTCTTCAAATGGCGAGAGGGAGTGACAGACTCTTACTGACTAAAACCCACCCGTTCCTTCTCCTGCTCCATGCCGTATAGACTGCGGTATATTTTTTTTATGTTATAGATCGCCAAACGAGTAGACGGATTACCTGATATTAATTCGCCAAATTCCGGCGAGCGTTCGTGCATATTTTTTCCTTGTGTTGTGTTTTGAATTTTATTAATTTGTAAAAGGTTAGGGCGGTCAAGGCGCAATCAACAAAGTAATTGAGAACAACAAACCCGTTCCTCATTTTCAGTCAATAAAAGTCTGATACTCTCTCTCTCTCTCTCTCTCTCTCTTTCTCTCTCTCTGTAGCCTGTAACGTAATCAGATAGAGACAAGACATTAAATAATTTCCAAAACGCAACTAAAGCGCGACGGGACGCGACCATAATATTATTGTATTGTTTTCTATCCGAGAATGATTTGCCAAATTGCATTGTATAATGAGTTTGTTTTCAATTTTAAGTGTGCGTAATTCAGATTCTTAGATTTTGTTAAATAGCTCGTTACTGGATGACTTTTATTTCAGTCGTGTAAAAACCCATCAAAACATAAATTTGTAATGAGAGCCAAGTTTAATACGATGATAATTACCTATATATCTTATTATATAAAAATGTGTTGGTAAGCGCATAACTCAAGCCAATAGACCACCACAGTCGGGGCCCTAAAGGGCTGATGTTTAGCCGGGGCTGCGGGGTAAGCGCAATGAGGCACCGCGACCTCGGCCCAGAGCAGGAGATGGAACGGGGGTTTTTTAGTCAGTAAGAGTCTGTCACTCTTTCTCGCCTTACCCTGGGTGGGAGAAGTCATTGGATGATTTTCCCCTGACAAAAAAAAAAGCGCATAACTCAACAACGCCTGGACCAATTTTGACAATTATTTTATTTGTTGTAAGTATTTATTATTGTCAGAAGAAGGTTCTTATCGAAGAAAATATTAGAAAAGTAGGTAGAGTTGAAAATTGGAAAACAGTGACCCTTTCGTTGTCAGCGAGATAGTTTGGCTCGTGCGAAGCAGGGCCGCTATTTATAAATTAATAATTTCTTAGCATCAAGTTTTACATTTACATAGCATGGCATGTAGGTAATTGTAATTTTTATTTTACTCTAATATAAACAAATCGTGTTATCCAAAACCACTACATGGATAATTTTGCGTATAGGCTTTAAAGCCCTACAAGGTTCAATTTAGGTACTTGTGTAATTTGAAGCCGGCCGACCATTCACAATGCCGTAGAATTACTCAATTCAGATGATTTTTCCATCTCAGGATAAAGTATAAGTACAAGTACCCACATACGTTAAGTACCTAGGTACATATTCCTATAAAAATCAATTACTTAGTTAAAAAAATATTTTTTCTCTTACTTATATGACAAACGAACTGCAGAACTGACTGCTCGCTTGGTGCGGTGGTTGGGCAACTGGCTGCCGTGCCGTGCAACACTTTGTGTAATCCACAAAATTGTTGTTTCAGGTCAAATCCTAAAGTAGGGCAACGTTTTCCTTAAAAAAAAATGAACTGCATCATTTCAATGTACCGAACTTTAAAATTTATCTATTTTTTTTGTAAGGGTACTTTAATCTGCTGCTCTGGACCGAGGCCGCGGTGCCTTATTGCCCTTGCCCCGCAACTCTGGCTGAACATCGGCCCTATTAGAGGCCCGTCTGGCCCTAGAACTTTTAATATGCCTAACTGATGCTAATGGATAAGGGTTTTCTCATTCTTGGCTTGTACATATTCCTTCACCAATCCTTCAGTTTCTGGTACTTAAAGTCAAAGTCTTCAATCATTTCTTCTAACTAAACCATGCACAGATACTTTTGAAACGCCAATATAGAATAGGTCTGTCTAAAAAACATTATGTTGTGTACTTTTTCTGTTACTTGAATTTTGCTTTTGTACCACATATTATAAAAGCGCCATCTGTGAAATTATATCAGAACTGTTGGATCCATTTTATAGTTCTGTGTAAAACTTTTTCAATGTTGTTTCAACACATCAACTCGACACGTTTTGTGTTTAAATTGTTAGTTTTAGTAATTACCGCCAGGTGGCACTACTAGCGAATCACATTGCATTACGGAACATTATAACGGAATGAGTAACAGCAATAATATTCCGATGCATTGTTATCACGTCATCAATTTCCTTTGAGATAATAATATTCAGAAAGATCAAAATACATCGTTTTTTCTTGACAGGAAAATCATCAAATGACCTCTCCCACCCGGGGTAAGGCGAGAGAGAGTTTCAGACGCTTACTGACTAAGAAACCTCCCGTTTCTTCTCCTGCTCTGGGCCAATGCCTCATTCTGCTTGCCCCGCAATCGTTAAGAGTGATGAAAATAGTGCCATCACTCGGTGATGAAAATTTTTAGATTGTTCGTTTGAAGTTTTTATTATTCTCTGCTATTTTGGGGTACTTACTTGCATTATGTCAATATGAAAGCATAACTTACACTTGATTTTATTGAAAATAACAACTTTAGTTTCAGGTTACAATGGTCAAGACTCAGATGCGCAACTTTTTTTACGGGATAAGTTGGCAAACAATCAGACGGATTACCTGATGGTAAGCAATCAGCGCCGGCCATGGGCACCCGCAACACCAAAGCAGTTACGAGTGCGTTGCCGTGTCTTTTGGGGATACGGGTTACGGATATTTAAGGATTGGGAAGGGATAAGGCAGGGCTCTCCGGTAACCGCTCTCACACAGCGAAACACAACGGCACAGTATAAATATCATACAGTATTGTAACTCGGCCGCTTGAAAGAAATAAATACCTACAGCCGCGCGGTACGTAAACATGCGTTAGGGCTGCTCGTCTCCAGTATTTTAATTACCTTTGTCTACTTTCTGTTTCCATTTAGTTTTGTGATTGTAAATATCCTTTTTTATATAACCAAATAAAGTGCTTTAAAAATAAACAATCAAAATTTCTTTGGCCACAAATGCCGAACTGAACAGCTGACTACGAATGTTCTAAAATCACAACCCTCAAACATCAAAATATTACATGAGTCTAACTGTTTTATTGTTGATATTAAATATTTTCTAGTATTATTCATAAACGCAGATAATAAACAAATATTATTAATAATAAAATACCACACTCTCTACTTTGAATTATACAAACTAACAAAACATACATGAACCGTTTTAACACAAGCGTAAGTAGGTAGGTACCTAACGTATCATGATTCATTCAGAACCAGAACCGCCTATAACTACCTATTTCACTCGTCTCAATAACTTTATTCCTATTATTTATAAATTCAAACATCTGTTATCGTGAGATAACTGGAAATAATGATCCATAAAGACACACATTATGTACTTACCTAGGCTACTAGTAAGTTAAATTATTTTATAGTCTTACCTTTCAGAGTTTCCAGGTAATTTAAAAAAAAACTTATGTCTGGATGCGTTATTGACGAATTCATGCAACCAAACATAATAACAGCACAATATTTCCTATTCGTCATATTAAATAATGTACTCGAGCTGATTTCTAAATAAAAGACAACACACCGTCCGTTCGTCACTGCGGTACAGCCGCGTCTGTCTGCGTACCGAGCGCGTCCCGACATCGGGCGCGTAGGTATAGTTCGCGTTTCGGCCGTTTCTATGAAGTTGAAATACTTGTAGATATTATTACCTTGACAACGGTGTGGTTGTTTCACGCTGGTTTTCTGTGAGGCCGTGGTATTACTCCTGATCTGATAACGGAGTACATAACCATGTCATACCGAAAGGTGATCACAGGAGAATTCCTATTCACTCAGTCCTTACATTCATTAATTTCCTCATCTCCAAGTAATGAAACAACAATAGATCCTCATCGCGCATGGCGCGTTTGGTGCGTCTTTACGATACATAATTTTTACTAGATTCTTATGGAAAATTACGAATTACTCACGTTACTTACTGAGAAAAGCTCTACTAGTTCGAAGTCACAATGGGACCGGTCGAGCCGACCTATTCATGCCGAAGCTTGGCTCTCACACACTATTTAAACATTAGCCGCGACGCGCACGCAGCTTATGAATAAGAATTCTGTTGTAACTTGAACTAGTAGAGCTTTTATAATTACTATAAATTCGACGGGTAAGCCATTATTTTCGTTAAATTTTGAATATATAGAACTATAACTTACTATAAGTTAGCTATTTGGTTATGTGCAAAGCGAGTAGTGGCGGTCAGATAACGACAGCAGCGCACAACACGGCAGAAATTGGAAACAAATGGAAGCTATCGGTTTTTATTATTATAGGTTTTCAATTTACAATAAAACTATTGAATAAATTGCACTTAAATAATGTCAACAATACTATTTTAATCTTTGGTTTTATTTATATTTGCAAAGAAAATTATAATGTTTACATTGTCAATATTTGTCAGCTTCCGCAAAAGTTGTAAACGCTACGGTTCGCCAACGTCGCGCACATAGCCAATACACACGGCTACCTACACATTAAGCATTATAAATACAGTTCATCAAATCCTCGCTTATGATAATATGATCTTTCCACACGTTAAACTCAGTCAATCAGCCATTTTATACTGGTTTTGCCGTAACCAATTTCTGCTTACCTCTCTTGAGCTAAGGTACCAAGGTAAACAAATAAATACGAAAATAAATGGGCAATCCAGGTGTTTTCGAAATTCCCTACAATTTAATTGTAACGGAATATGATATAGATTTTATGTATGAGTAACTATACATATTATAAGTTCTCCCTCTCGCAGTCTCAGCGAGCAACTCACTGGCGCCCTCCGCGCTCCGCCATTTTGAACTGAGAACTGAGAGGCCGCGTTCGGTCGCGTCTCGTCGTTCATTCCATTCTATTTATTTTGATATCGCGTGTCGGAGTAGTCGTGTCTACTGACTAGTGCTTGAGTGCCGTACAACGTTCGTTAATTTGTGCAGTGATTTACAAAACAATCTCAAGATGTCTGGATGTAAGTGATTTATTTAATACTAAACTGTACCTAGGTACTTAATTTTTAATACAATATTAAGTTTATCAGTCGAGATAATGATACAAAAACAAACAAGTGAGTTAGTTAAACTAGTCAAACGAAATACCGGTATTGAAGACCTCGTTAATTTTATATTATTATACTAAATAGGAAGGTACTTATCTACATCCTTTTAACGGCTTTTACTTATTGCTTACTGTACCTTTGTATGTGGCGGCTTGCTTATTTTACGTAACAGTTAAAAGTTATTATAAAAACATAGTGAAACTCGTGTTCAAGCCCGAGAAGGTTACCTACTGGTATTGCATGGTGTTACATCAGTTTCCTTTACTATCTATTGTTATGACGCTGCTGTGCTCTACAAATAGTTAACTAAGCACATTATAGGTAGATTAGTAGTCATTAAAAATATATTAGATAAGGTGTTAGGCTGTTAGCTCGTAATATAACTACCAACTCGTATATTTTTTTTTAATCTTTAAGTATTTTATTAAAATGGCTTTTTTCCATACAGAAGATTTCTGCCCTATTATTGTGTATGTGTACTAAACAACTCGTATGTTGGAATGAATTTATCAATGCTTAGCGATGCAAAAAAGTTAAGATTCGTAATTTAAATATTTGTTCACAAACTGTTAATTAATATTTGTTAGCGCTGTTAAGCGAAATTCACACTTTCATATCATAGCAACAAGTTATGTTTTTGTTTATAAAATAAAGTTTTAGCTTGTCACGTTCTATGAGATTTAAGTAAATGATATAATCGAGATAAAATGTCTGACTTACCTAATCTTATAACTAACAACATGTTAATATACTAACAATAATTTAGTCACACATTTAAACCCTTCTAAATAAGCATAACCTTGTTAAATTTTTGTTAATTCGCTTGGAAAATTTCTACGCATCGGCTTTCCAATGTTAGATAATATCTGACCGAAGCCACGCGTACCATGCACTTTCACATAGCAGCCATTGTTTATTGCAAAATGTAAACAAAACTACGTGTGTTGTGATAGAATATGGCTCTATAACAGACTATTTATGACCACGCCTTTGGAGTCCATGTTTTAATCCTTTATTTTTATTTTGTGGAGTTATATTAGTAACTATAGATAGTATTGGAGAAAGACGTCTTTGATCTGCATTAGATGATGATGATGGCGATAGTTGTGGTGATCTCCATAGCCATGTTTATCTTCAAAAGAACATATGTAGGTAGTTCTTCTCCACTACACACCTTTTCAAACCTTAGAATAATTTGAAGGCATTATTAAATGAAAGCGACAATTATGTAGATAATGCGGGATCACGAAGTTTCTAAGAGTAAATATGTAGTTATCTGAAAGATGTAAGTAATCACTGAACAGACATTATCAGTATAAAATGAATAGAAAAAGGTCCATTGTTGAAAGAGTTTTGTTGTGACTATTTCACCAAGAGGTAAAAGCAACAGGTTTGTTATTTGACCTTGAAACTGTTTGAAGAAAAATGAAAGTAGGTAGATAGTTAAAAAGTTATATGTACGTGTATAAAAACATGTTCTATAGAATTATTTATTTCAATAAGATCATTAAAGGTACTTTTAAACGTCAAACAAAGATTTAGAACAAAGATGATAATGTTAGCCTGTCGGCCAAATGTCTTCTTAGTGAAGCTATTTGCTCGTTCCAAAGTCTAGATAGCGATGGAGAAGAAAAGCAAGAAATTCCGTGGTTACTCATGTTCGATCAGATTCTTTGATACATTATTTAGTTGGTTTTATTATTTAATTATACACGTTATGTTTTATTATGCAAGTGGAACAGTATTCAAAGTAACGGAAAAGAAAATAGCTTGAAAGGAAAATTTTTGGTTTTTATTAGTGATCTAAAAAATTATATCTTAGTCTTCCTCTTTCAAAATTGGCTTGAGCAATCTGGATACGAAATGGGTTAAGTTTAACTTATAGATAACCTGAAAAAGACATACATAGAAGTTTTAGTTGCTTCATCCCAGAGTTTTCAAATATGTCCTTGAAACATTGAGAAGTTTCCAAACCAGATAAAAATAATTTGTAGACACCGGAAAAAAAGTTGTTGTTATTAGTTAACTCTGTATAGCCTATCTACCAAATTAATTTGAATAAAGTTTGTAAATAATTACATGATCTCTCTTTTGAACTAGTAAAATTTATCGGGTTTTGAATTACAAATTGAATTTATAAGGCCTTAGTATGATAGAAACAAAAAGTCTTTCTTCCCTCAAAATCAAAATGCGCAACAGGCAATATCCACTAGGGCGATACATGATGAATATAAACAACAGATTAATATATAAATATTATAATATAAATAAGTAACAATGATATGGTCGAAGTTTGAATCAATCGTCCTTGGGAACAGATTGTCGTTCCCATAATTAAATACTATACTGCGAATTTTACTCGCAAAAATCGCCTTGTTTTTTGTTTACAATGACTTTATATCACGAAGTAAAACAGTATTTATCTTTTGAATTAATAGGACGATGTCATTTGTTTCTGGTTTACTTCTGATTGATATTATTTCTAATAGAGTAAGCTGTATGAAAATCCTTTCGATAATAATTTATTTCGTACTCAATCACTTGTGTTAAGTAATTTATTATTTTAAATCAAAAGACTACAATTTACAATAATATACATTATTATGAAATTTGTTTAATTTTAAAAAGTTGTACTTACTCGAATTACTTATACAGCCAGAGGAATTAGTTATCACTTCAGTTTCCATCGACGAATTTTCTCACGACAACGCGGTCGTAACTCCTCTGGTGTTGTGGGTGGCGCCGATTATATGCCATTAGGTAATCGGCAGAAGAGGATACATTATATTAAAAAAAACAATAAATTAACTACCTCCTTGAGAGTATGATAGTTATCCATCACTCTTAAAACATGTGATGACCAAGGGAAAGCGGAATTCATTATTATTAATAACAGAAGATAAGATAAGGAGATCGACAACTGGTCAGTTACAAAATAACAAGTTTTTATTTAACAGACAACTCGCATGATGTCCCATTATGATAAAAACGAAAAGCAATTATTATTATAAATACCAACTAGTTTTATGATAATAATAATGGAAGAAAAATAAAAAAATATTGTTTTGCAAAAAGCAAAAAGGACGTAGGTACATCTCGATTTCCTGGTATACTGATTAAACTGAATTCCATACTATAACCGCCTTTGTAGGTGGTTATGACAGTATTAATATAAAACTGATTATAAATACGATATTCAAAAGCAAATTGGAAGCAAAAGAAAAAAAATATTTAGATGATCATAATATTTTCTCATCTGACTACAAGTGTTCACCATAATATGTAGTCAAACAACTATACATATAATATTACTTACCTACTAGCTTTTCCACGACTCCGTTTGCGTGGAAAAGTGACTTCTTGTAGATTTTTTGTATAAAAACTATCCTATGTCCTTTCTCGAGTTCCAAACTATTTTTGTACCAAATTTCACAGAAATCGGTCCAGAAGTTTAGGTGTGAAGAAAAGACAGACAGACAGAGTTACTTTCGCATTTATTATATTAGTTTGTAGGACCACAAATAAAAATCACTGATAGGTTAGAACTGACAACTTTGTTAAGTAACAGTATCTGGTTTGACGGATAAGTGAGTGGGCTTTCATCATCATCCATCTTTAAATGAAAGGAAATAAGGCTTCCAACATACTCTCTGATTTATTGTCAGTACAATCGTGTTATAATCAGTCGTAAACAATCAAACACTACTCGGATTAAATCGGATTACTTGTCGAGGAACGCGTTGAAGTCACTTGCTGGCCCAGCCGCCATTTTTCGTTCCTTGTGACGGTTATCTGCCAGTAACAGTTAATTAAAGATTGATTTACCTTAGTCTTCCAGCGCAGAGGCAGAATACATTCAGGTCGATGCTGGCTTGGCGTTCCATTTTACAATTTCCGTCAACCAATTTAATTAATGCAGAATGGAATGAATCTTCCAAAAGACTCATTGTCTTAATTACAGAAAGAAAATTTAGCAATTAACAATACATACTTAGATGGGCTAATTGGGCCATAGGTTTCTATATTATATACATACTCCTATCTGCCGTTAACCGATTTTGTGTACTTGACTAATTTGATCATTATTGTATACTAGCTTCCGCCCGCGGCTTTGCCTGCGTGGTATGTTGATAAAAAGTAGGCTATGTCCTAATCCGGAGTCAATGCCTGTGCCAAATTTCATCTGGATCTGTCCAGCTGTGATTGAGTAACAAACATCCTTAACTTTCGCATTTATAATATTATACATACAGTTAGATTAAGATTTTTGATGTTATAGATCTTTATACAAAAACCTAGATACAATTGCTTCCTCGTAGATACTGATTTTATTGAAACCATGAGTTCTAAAACAAACCTTCAAATGCAATTATGCAATTAATTCATTTTCCACCTAAGAAGAGGATTAGCTAAACCCTTTACCTTACCTTTTTTATCAGTATAATATAATTAAAATAGAATATTTGGTACTTTCTCCGTTTGTAGAAGGAACCTTTCCTCAGCAGTCTTATAGGCTAATAATGATGATTTCTGTATGTTAAATGCCAGAAATATTCTAAACCAGTGAATATAACCTATTTATCAGTAGTAGTCAGGTACTAGACAGACAAATTTTATATTAGGTATATATCCTTGGAATTGAATAGCCAATAGTTGTAAATAATTTTGTGTTCTCATACGATTTTCGTATTTCAGATCCGTATGGAAATCCAGGGCAGTACCCGCCGCCTCAACCGCAGCCGCAGATATATCCTCAGCTATATAACCCTGTAAACGCCGCTGTTCCAATACCACCACAACCTGGATTTGCTCAACCTTTCCAACCACAATATCAGCCAACATTCGGATACCCTTACCAGCCGGGTCAGGGTCCACCTGGACAGCCACAGACAGCACTGTCCTACCCTTCAGCACCATCGGCACCAGGATATGCTTACAACGCTCCTTATGGACGTAAGACATTTTGAAACTTAGTTTGAAACAAATACATGACTGATGCTTCTAGATTTAAAATCCTTTTAGGCATAAGTTCAATTTTGTAGTCTCTACCTATTAAGTCGTATTCTGTCTTGACTACAATACATCTAAAACTGAAGTTCAACAATAACATAATATATTTTTTATTTATGTATCCAAAGCATTCGTTGTCCAACTAGTATTCTGAGAATTTTAGTAAAGTGAAACCAATTTCCGAGAAAAAATACCATACCGACATTTTTGGCAAAGAGCGAACTTTTTTCAAGGTCTCTTAATATGTAGTGCATGCTTTGATTCTAAATTCAAATTTATCTGGGATAATTCGTTATTTAAATGACTTTCATTTTTTTTTTTTTTTTGTTGGATTATAGGTTATTTGAATTAAATTTCATCGGTTCATAACTGGTAATTTGTATTTCAGCTGTTGTAGAATGGATTTCTACCACCCCAACCGATGCTCACGCGCTCAGCGAACGTGCTATATTTGGTGGATATTATTATGATGGTAGCCCACTCTGGGTTATCAGGGCTAGATTTGAAGGCGATCTGGTTCCTGGCAAACTGGCTATCAAACATCAGGCCGCTTTTGTTCCCTGGGGTGGAAAAGAAAACAGCGTCAAGAAAATTGAGGTTTGTATTTTTTTTATTATACTTAACTATTGGACTAGATGTAACTTTAAGATAGTATTTATGTGTTTCTTATGAATGTTTTTACACCTTGTTAACTGACTTATTCGATTCCTGAGTTTGTTTGCGAATAATTGATTGCGCCGCCATGTGTGTGTAAAATAAAGTATACCTCAGGTATTTAAAGGCTCATTACTATCAAGTAATTTTGCACAAGCATTCATAATTATGTATGCCGTTTCCTTCTTTATGATTACGATTTTCATTTGTCCATCTTAACTTTGATTTAATATAAATACTTAATGTAATGAACTAAATGATGGCAGGCACGTGTATTATCTATAGTATACATAATTTTATTGAAGGAAAATACACGAGATTTTTGTTTCTAAAGACGCCCACATCTCTGTTGCCATCTCAACGTGTTATCGATCATATGACTAAAATACCTCCGTAATTTTCATAAGTATCCAATAGTTTTTCTCTTGCGTATTTACTAAATAAGCGCTCGGATTCTTTACAAACATTTTGTACACTTACTTTGGGGGAACGCAGTAATAAAAACACATACATAAGGTCTTTGAATACAATGGACGTGATCTAAAAGTTGTTACTAAAGACATACAGATTTAAAGAAAGATTTTTTGCTTATTATGAAAATTCTCTTTGACTGAGTTCACATAAATGAAATTACGTCTGATGGTAGATACATAAAACGCCCCTTTCTGATAACTAGGCACAATGAAAACGTATCAACTGTACCAACTATGAATTAAACAAAGAGAACCCAGTAACTAAATAAAACTTCTAAAAATTGACTCATAAATATTGTGAAATTGTCTAGTTGTTAATGCAACATTTAAATGAGTGTGACGTCGAACGAAATGACTATGAGTCAACTATTTGTAATGTAATTATGACGTATCTACTTATTATTCTAACTGACTATCACTTTGTTTATAAATACGGTACTTACTTATTTATAAACAAGGTATACGTGGGACTTTGTTATTGGACTCTGATTTGTGATGTGACGTGGCGTATAGCTATTGGTTGAAGATCTTAACTAAATAACAAAACTGTCTGGTCAAAGGTGACTGGTTATTCACCTGTCGTTTCACCCTGAATGGTTGAAATTAAACTGTACACACAAGATTGTATTTATTTGATGTGATTTAGTATTACAAAGCATATTTATCTTGCCAAATCCAATAACAAAGATAATGTTAGTTGCGATATTTCTAGGATTACTTACTATTCATTTGGCTCCGGTGTTTGTATTGTAAACAAGTATCATAAAGCTTCGAAAATGTCCACCCAATTAAATCTAAAGAAATCCAGGTCCTCTTAGTTCGTCAGCCAGGGTTGCGGGTGCAAACACAATAAAATACCGGGACCTTGTATCGGAGCAAAAGTGGGAAAAGAGACGTGGTTGTTTTTAGTCAGTAAGAGCCTAACAACCCCTCTGGCAATGAAAAAGTCTTTACATACGTAACTACATTTTAAATATTCCCCTCATTTTTTGGCTCATCAAACAATAACTATTAACTATTATTAAGTACATTTATTAGTCTTTTCTGGTTTCCGTAGGTTTGCTGCGCTCGAGTCAGCCCTGAGTGGGTCAGGTGGCAGGAAACGAGGGAAGCAAACATTCCTCAAAATGCTATTATTGCTGGCAGTACTTCAAATGGAGAGCCTCTGTATGTCGGCAGGGCTAGGGAGGACGGATCGTTGACACCCGGAAAGGTAATTAATTTGACTATTGTTTATAATATTATAAGACACTAATCTGTGTGTAATTTTGAACTTTATTGTTCTGTAATGAAGTCGATTTTTCTGTGAATTAATCTGACGGATAACTAATAAGAGTAGCTTGCTATGAAGTATTATTTTTTCAATTGTTTCGCATTATTCGAATTATAAACTTAATGCTGACGTAAATACGAGTAAATAACGGTACTTGTCTCAACGAAATGCCATGATTCATTGTTTTGTGAAAGCTTTATCATACTCAAAGGATTTTTTAATTGTTTTTTTATTAAAAATTAGTTTGTCAACGTTTATTTTTATAGCATTCACATTATATTGGTTTTCAAGTTGTGTCTTATAATCTAGACATGCATTCGTAGGTATATACTTATCGGAATTAAAAGACTAAAAACTGAATATCTTTGCAGGTACATCCCAGCCACAAAGTGCTGTACATTCCACACTGCGGTAAAGAAATTGCTCACAAAGAATATGAAATACTGTGTACCGTTATACCTTAAATATTTTGTAAGATTTTAAAACTATAAGGGAAACCGAGATGGTTGTCTCGCGGGTTGGTTGTCTCAGCGGTTGGTTGTCTCAGCGGTTGGTTGTCTCAGCGGTTAGTTGTCTCAGCGGTCATTAGTAACATAACTATTGATTGCTAACGAAGTATCGTTAAGGCAACATCTCTCCTTCAATATATATTCTTTGTCTCCAATCAATGTTCGTATTTTGTTCGTATTTTGTTCGTTATTAATGTATCTTTTATGATCTCTGTGACAACCGACCCGTGAGACAACCACCCTGGTAACGCCTACATGTTTGTATTAATTTTTAAAGAACATATGGAAAGTACCAAGTCTGTTTTGTCGATAGACAATAAAATGGTCTGATATTTCACTAGAAGGTATCATTGTTTTTATTTCTCTCCTCTATAAAATAAACCAATTTCACTACATACTAGTCCTATTTACGATATAGTAGGAAGTAGTTCTATATCGTACTATCTAGATAAAAATGAATCGCAAAATGTGTTGGTAAGCGCATAACTCAACAACACCTGGACCAATTTGGCCAATTATTTTTAAGATGTTCGTTGAAGTCCAAGGATGGTTCTTGTAGGTAAGTAAACTATTTAGATATGAATGCAGTAAGTAATTAAGTATATGATTTTATTGAAAATAACTATTTACTCGAGCGAATTAACTGAAAAGCTCTACTAGTTTCAAGTCACAACGGGACTCTTATTCATGACTATCGTGTGCGTCGTCGCGACCACGGATGTCGCTTGCTACGACGCGCGCGCTGCTAATAAAGTTAATTAATATTTTCAATAAATTAAGTATGTCTCACGATAGTTGCTATTCAAAAATAGTGTATTACTTGCCCAATAATATAATATCTTGATCTCTCTCTTGATCCCTTTTTTTTAAACAGCGCCTTGCACTAGGCTCTTCTCCTGTGCCGTGGGTGCGTTTACAATTACAAACATACAATTTCACATACACATCACACCCAGACCCGGAACAACAATTTGTAAACCACACAAAGAGATGTGCAGAGCGGTAATTGTACCCGCGACACGTTGCACGGTAGCCCAGCCGCTGCGCCAACCGTGCAGTATTTTGGACTCGCATAATAATATGGAGATTGGATATTGACCGTGAAACCTGCTGTCAACTACTAATGAGTTCCCCTAAACAACTAACAAAGGTAGGTTGGTACAAGAAAATATAAACAAAATAGAGTAAAATTTAAAAATATTTCTTTATTTTCATCGAATAAGTACTCACACAATATTAATAACGATAACAACTACGTACAATTAACTTAACAACTAAATAGTATATTTAAATATATCACTTCATTGGGTTTGCAAAACTTTGTCTTGCTAATTTTCCTACAAACAATTACGAATACATAATTACAATTTACAAAAGGTGAAAAGAAAAAATAACCCGCCAGTCTCTGAAAACGATGATTAGACAAAAAAAAGAAAAAAAACCTTTTTGGTAGGTAGATATTTATCGAGAATAATATTCAAAAAGCTATTGTCACCTCATCTTAAGAAAGTAATAGATTTTAAATCCATTAAGATCATCAATACAATAATACCGTTGTTTCACTAGGACGTGTGATCAGGGAAATATGAAGTAGCCTGATCGAATTAGCAAAGCAATCATTTCATGTTAAAAGTTACTAAATCAATAATATCTAAAAGGCGCTTCACACTGTGTCATAGATTCTATTTCTATCACAAAATTCCAATTACCTATGGTTTATTATTTTCGTCATCTTTTACAGTCATCATAGTTGAATTATCTGGTTATGGTCATAAAAAAGAAATTAATAAGCAATAGGACTTCGTTTACAATAATCATAAAAAAATGGACATCAAAATTTCAATTCAGATTGAGACAACACAACATAAAATCGAGCAATTAATAAAATCGGAAGAAATCCTACTAAGTAAACATTAGAAACATTGAAATATTTTCATATTATTATTTTTTTCTAAATTTCAGAATTTAGTCATTTATATCTATTATTATGAAGGCGGAAGAAACAAAAATTACTTAAACAAGCTTAGATTTTCCATAGTATAGACATCACAGTCACTATTAAATCGGTTTTTACAAATACATGTACCTAACTTATGCACAGTTATTGGAAGTCAAAGTATGTGAATCTCTAAAGAGAATAAGTATGGATTTTATTCAACTCATTCTTATGCATTGGAATCAATTCCTAAGACTAATATTCCCATAGCCTTTTCACAACTTAATCTCGCACAAAATAATTTCTATTAAGTTTCATTAAATTCATAATTTTATTTATGTCCATAAAAACATCTGTCTTGTCTTAGTGTTGTACCTTACTATTGTTTACAATACTTTCAATGAATCCCATTTCTATTTGTGATTGTAGAACAGTTTCTTCTTTATCTTCTGTCGTATTGGCATTTTCTTTTTTCTCAGTTTCATCAGTCTCGTAAGCTTTGTTTTCTACCCCGGTTTTCTCTGCATCAGCTCTAAGTTTAGCTTCATTGTCGAGATTAGCTTGAATGTGTTTCTTGTTTGCAAGGTACAACCACCTGTAATAAAATGGACAGAATTTTAATTTAATAATAAGAACTTTCACTGCTTATGTCCGGGAAAAAAATACTAAATTTCGGTCTCAGTAAGTGTTTTGGGTCTGAAAAGAGGCTTGATTTTAGGCAATAGGCCCATTTTGCACGACACAGGGCAACGTTCTGCCAGCCGGGCCTGCACTGCAATGTAAAACAGCTCCGACCAGCAAGCAGGAGAACAGGGTGGTTTTAGGGAGTAAGATCCTAATACACCTTCTCACCCCCCCTAGGGCAGGAAAAACCAAGGACGATTACGTTCCTCAAAAAATAAAAAAAACTTAGTCAAAGTTTTTTTTCTCATATATCCAATACTTACAAAAATATTAGAACAGCTGGCATAGTAAGTGCTCCACCAAGAAGGAAGAATGCTCCAGGGAACGTCTTGATGGTACTTGTATACACTGTTGTATACATAGGAGCGTAAATTAGGGGCATCATTGCTTCAGCTACACCGTAGAAGGAATTCACTTTCCCTGTAAAAAATAAAATTACTGTTGAGGTGAAGAAAAATACAATGAAAACTTCATACATTAAAGAATTAACTAAAGATTCGCGTCTTGCTAGCGCAAGCGGTGAGTTAACCTCAGATGTCGATTGGGTGGTTCGATAAAACTCTTAGTGGTTTTAGAGTAATCCGCTAGATGGCGTTACTTATACTCATGCTTACCTAATTCATCTCTGTCTACCAATTTGGAGACCATTGACCTCATCGCTATAAATGACGTTCCGTTAAATACTTCTATTAATGGAGCTGTAAAACAAAAATATATTTTTATTATTTTCATAAAAATAAATTATTAATATTAAAGCAAACACAAAATAGAGCTAAAATAGAACAATCGCATTGTCTTACTCTTAATGCCTCAAAGATCAAAAGTTTCAAAACATCATGGAGCGTGGGAGAGCCAAGCTTCGGCACGAATCGATCGGCTCGACCGGAGTGATAACACGGCCTCACAGAAACCCAGCGTGAAACAATCACAGCCTTCTCTTCCGCCGTGTGAGTGGGATTATCGGAGGCCCAATCCCTCCCCCTTTCCCCATCCCTTCCCAAAACTTAAATATCCGAAACCCTTATCCCAAAAAGCCGGCAACGCACTCGTAACTCCTTTGGTGTTGCGGGTGTCCATGAGCGGCGCTGATTACTTACCATTTTCTATCAGGTTATCCGTCTGCTCTTTTGCCGACATATCCCATTAAAAAAATATTGAAGCATTTATAATATTTTTAAACATACAAACCTATATAAATGTGCCAGGTTTTCGTAGCAAAAGCGTACATAACGCCAGCCAGAATCTTACTCGTACATGAAATGACACCAATTATTGCGTCATCAAACTTCAGTAAATGACTAAATACACCGACTGAAAATAAAGTACCTGAAACACATAATAAAATCGTTAAAAAAGTATAAACATACTTCAACCGCTGCCGCGCCTATAATACTTAGGAACATTGTAGTTATCTATCAGTGAAAGAATTTTGGAAATCCGACCAGCGTTCCAATGATTACCCCCCTACATACAAACTTTCAAATTTTTTTACCTCTTTATAATATTAGTACTCATAGATATAGATTTTTTGGAAATCTGCAAATAATAGATAGAAAAGCAAACAAAATTCTATAAGTATTTTTACAGAAAATAAATTATGAGAAACCATCGAATATAGGTACATAGCTAATTAATAATTTTAATACCTACATTACTTATTCCTTGACATAATATTAAAACAAGAATAAATCTGTAAGAGGTAATAATTTTCTTTACTATTAATATTTAAATGTCATAACTTTATACATTTACCTATTTAATTAACTTTTACAAAATATAAGTACTTATAGCTATTGAAAATATTACTTCAATGACTGTTTTAATAAATTTTATTACATTTATGCATAGTATTTATAAATAAATTATTAATTATTCAGGTCATTGAATTTTCTTCAGTAAGTATCTATGAATAGATGTTTGTTACGCTTTCACTCAAAAACTACTGAGTGGATTTTATTGAAACTTGGCACAGAAATAGGATGTAGTCTGGTATTGCACGTATTACCCGTAACGCAACGCCCGAGATACCCGGATACATTTATACGGGTAACTCGGGCAAAGCCACTGGCATAAGATAGTTGTATAATTCAATTCCAACCTATGGCGGATTGCAGTAGTGCATAAGGCAATGGATCTCTGTTCCATAACGTTTATTTTCAAGACAAGAGTTGTGCTGAGATATTTTTGTATATCTACAGAACTGTGCTCGTGCTTTCAGTAAAACCACAAGCTCTCCAGTTGTAGAAGATATTAATAACTTTGTTACAAGCAATTAATTTACGTAATATCTTTGTTGCGTTTTGTCTGAACAAGATAAATAGAAAAAGTAAAATTAATTCTTACCTACTAATGAAGTACACATCGAGTAAGTAG